GTTTGGGCTTGGGATTGGTTTTGGTTCGAGTTCAGAGGGAGTTCGCCCCCCTCTTGTGATGTCTGCGTGTTGCACAATAATTTATTGCCGCACAATTGCAGCTGCCACACATTCCAATGCACTTGGCGCCCGAGCAGCCACACGGAGTATGGGTTTTGGATTCCCAACTGGGGAAAAGATGGAATGAGAGAAGTTTCATACTACTTGCCAGGAGGCACACCCGCGGCGCTTGTAAAAGCAACTCACATTTGGCGTTGATTTTCAGTAGCGGCAGAGGATGCCGGCTTGTCGTGCTGTCATGGCATCGCCACCATCCAAATACCCATCCTCACTACATATAGACGTAATGTAATTTTAAATTTATATTCCCGACTAGATTAAGGCACTGCTGCCAACGTGCAGGGATGCATGGAATACGTACTTTCTAATGAACTCTTTTGGGGAGTTTTCGAAAGATAAACATTCGCGGAGAGTGTGAAAATGACTAAGGAATTTGGAGGAGATTCAGGAGATAGAGAGTATTAATTTTTTGCTAAATTTTAAAGTTAAAGCTGTCTTCGTTTAGATAATAAAAGATATTTGAAGAAATCTCACAAAAAAGATAGATTTTTCTAACACTTTTCTCTTTTAAATAAACAAATAAGAAGCTTTCAGTGTGAAGCAAAATATGCAAAATAGCATTAAATATTCCTATGGCAAAGCTATCACATATCACATTTTATTTATTAGTTGAATATATCAACTTGATAAATATTCTAACATATTCTTTTTTCCTCTCTTACTCCCCACCCCCTTAAACCATAATCAAATGCAAATGTAATTGGATATTTTGCAAACAATGTTTTCTCGTACGTCTAGAAATTGCTGCCATTTACTGCATAGCCATTAGGGATGTCTTCGATAGGGTAGTGGTAGACTATTTTGATGGATTTGTGGCATGGTTGGTATGGCATAGTATGGGTAAAATGAAAGAGATTGCGGTCTGACAGTGGCTTTTGCGGTCTTGTTGCGCGTCTTTGTCCATTAGAGAACCTTGCGAAAAGTGTCAATTACAACAGATGTCAGAAACAATCAGCGGCGTAAATAAGTCATAAGGCAGCCACAACACACACACACACACACACTCATGTGACATTGAAACGCCTGATGAACGTGGTTACCAACCCACCACCACTACCACTGCCTAGAGAACTTATGGTAAGGTAATCAATAAGCCTGACTCGACCAATTGCGTGCGGCTAATTAATAGTTGGATGGGTGAACCAGGAAAAGGTGTTAGATACAAAAACAAAGACATCGCGGGTCAAAACTGTTAACAGTTCGAATGGGTGAGAAGTTGGCATGGTCATTGTGCGTGTTCGAGGCCAATCAATACCCCAAATTATGGTAATCAATTTTAATTAGAGAGACGGTAAGAACGAACGGCCCCAACCAACCACAACCCTTCAAGCAGCTCACTCAATTCTGTCCAAAAGGCAACTGAATGGCGAATGGAGTAAATCGAATGCCTCTGAATTTGACTGGACTGCAATTGACGTAGTCAAAGCGCAGCTCATAATCCGAGCATCATGTTTAGAGGGACACTGAGAGAAATACTTGCATTTAATGAAGAAAGTTTAAAAACTCTGAAAAAGTGAAAAGTTACAGCAAAAAATCTTTAAACCTTGTGAAAGTCTATAAATAATTTTTCTATAAAAAGTCCAATCATATTTAAGGCTAAGATTTTCTTACAGTGCCCTCTTTCAATTGTTAGAAAAGCTATGGTAGGGGCTGCATTGAGCTGGGATTTTTGCTTATGTCAAAATTCGAACAATGGCCAAGTGGCTGGGCCAAAATTGAGGCTGACAACCCTCATGGTCGCCACACCCTCATGCTTGCCCTCAGCCTGGTTCTCATTCAAATCGAAACTGATGGACATTCAGCCATATAGAAGCATCCAGTGGATGGAGTAGAGGCACTAGGAAATTGAAGCAGCGTCTCCCAGAGGCATCGGCTTCAAAATTCCATTATTTGGATTAGACCAATTGTTGCTTTGAATTTCGGCCGCTTCGAGCTTATAACGTTCATTGAATAGCTGAAATTATAGTTGATACCCTGAACAATCTACGTCATTTTAGGTTGAGTTGAGTGAAGTACGGGAGCACTTCCTGATCAATTAAGATTAGCCTAATTAAATGTACGATTTTCCTGTTATTAATAATAAGACTAAAGCTAATGATATGTGTCTTGTATATAGGATGCTAGGCTGTAATATGTGAAGTAAATCATTGTTAGTTCTCTGAGAAATATATGGAAGAAGCTTGTTTAAGGGTGAAGAATTATTAATCTAAAAAGTAAATTTATCTTCTATTAAGAAATATAACGAATGAGTAGATTAGTTTTCAAAAATCTGTACAAAAATCTTAGTTAAAGTTTAAGAAATAACTTAAAATAACTTGAACTTTAAACTATTACCATTAAAGTCAGGCTTAAATATTTTTACAAAAATCAATTCCCACTCACTTAATATCAAAATCCCTTCCTACATATTCCGGCAAACCAAAATCAGCCAAAGTTGCCAATCTACTGGGGTCAAAGTTGGCAAACGCAAAGTAATTTGGAAAGTACACAACATTGGGCATCTAGAGCAGCTGGTACTGCTGCTACTGCTGCTCCTGCCAACTGCTATTAACAGTAAATGACTGGCCTAATTTATGCACCTTGGTCCGAACACCATACACACACACACACACATAGATAGTCTGGGGGAAATTACAATTGTATTGCAGTCAACATTTCCATTGCCATTTCCATTTTTGGGGCATGTGAGGGAGGCTGTGACTATGACTAGAGGTGAGCTGAGGCCAGGACACGCCGCAATGCCGTAACTTGATGGAATAGCTAAGCCAAAAACCAGCCACATATATATAGACGGGGACTAGAAACTCAACCGAAACTATGTACCACCAAATCCCCTTCCATCATCCAAGAGGGGGGAAGGAGGGGAAATTGCTTTACACAATCGAAACGCACGAAATGACAATATAAATCGAGGGGCGGAACTAATTTTGGCAAAAGACTCGAAATAGGCCGGGCACGACCACAAAAACCGGAATGATGATACTTGAGAGGGGATGGCAATACGAAAATACGGAAAAAGGGAAAAGTCAGGGGTGTGCCATTTCAGCTGGTGCTACCGTCTGAATTGGCCAAAATTAACGCAACGAGTAGAAAACTTTTTGTATACGGAAATTGCGTAACTACACATTAATGAAGAAAAATTGCAGTAACGTGGTGGTGGTTTGGGAAAAACTAACCATGCCCGTCTCTCCTCCATTGAAAACAGACAGTACAGCAGCTAACGGGGAAAAACTTTCTGAAATTGGACGACACTTTAGCCATAAAAGGCCTCTGATTTATGCCAATTGAAGCTCGTACAGGTAAACTGCCTCGTAATGAAGTGAAGTCCTGAAATGAATCCCGTTGCCAGAGAGGGTGATTATAGTAGTTGAATGGGTGGGAGATAATATCTATCTTGGATTAGCAGCCCGCTTTGATCATCATCGTCATCTAATCATTTGTTATTCACAGACCTGTATCCCCTGACTTTGGTAATTCTTTTATGGCCATCATTAAATCTCTGACCAGACAAATGGAGACATCTTTCATTTACGACTCCTTTGGCCAACTATAATCATCGTTCATCATCTGTTGTCTAATTAATTGTAAAGTTTTTCTCTCCTTTGGAATCTTTGGCGGCCATTAATATTGCCACAGATGTCGTAATAGCCGGGACATCGGGTCGAATGATTAATATATCAAAGTTTTCCACTTGCAATTGGCCAAGAAAGTTGCCTAAAGATTTGTTGCTTTTGCCAAGCAGTTAAAATTGCTTAAAAAAGTACTTTCTTATTCTTCTTTATTCCACATCTGTCATAATTTTTAAACAATTTTTAAGTAATAAAATTTTTTTATTTTTATAAAATTTCTCTAATAGCTGGCATTTTTGCTGTCATTTCCTCTAAAGAGAACTCAAACCCAAGCCAAGCCAAGGCTGCTCCTTCATCTGAAGTGGTTAATGATTTAAATTCATAAAATTAGTTTTAATAATATTAATAATATCATCACTTGGCAGCAGGCAAGCCAACTTGGCATGAGAAGATGGCCAAGAACAAGGCTGAAACAGCGACGCCATAAGCCGGCTTTGGTTACGGCTTTCGACTTTGGCTCCGGCTTGGCTTTAGCATTTTTGGTCATAGTTCAACGCTTGCTGGGAATTTGCACAAAGGCGTCAAGGCAACTCGGATTCCATGCTCCTGGTCGTGGTCCTGGTCCTGCTTCTCCTCCCTTCTCCTTCTCCCTGGTTTTTACCATTCCTCATCATCGCCATCTGGAGCTTATGCCCATTGTTTGCACTGTTGCCAGTGCCAACCATCATCAACATTATGCAGAAGGCTCCCGGGCTAAGATCTGGCCACAAGTTATAAAACTGCCTGGTAGCCCCAACTTCCAAACCGCCGCCCTCTTTCTCCCCCCTCATTCATTCATCTAACAAATTTCTCTCTCTTTGTTTAAATTTTGCGCGCCGGAAATTTGCTTATCGCCGCTTTTCAGTTGTGGCTCTTGATGCCACGGGAGGGGGGAAGCGGGACAGTGGCTCTATATGGAGAGGGGTTGGGGGTAGGCAAAGTCAATAGGGAGATTAGTGCGGCAGGCATTGAGCCGGCACAGAGCTGTGCTAATTGAGCGACCGGTCATGGCAACAGCTTAAATCAATAGAACCAGCCTGGATTTATTCAATATGCCGACGAAATGAAAGAGAAACTTTCCACGAGTTTATGCGGCACATAAATTAATGTTTAAGTCCTGAATTTTATTAAATTTGATTAGTTTTTAGGTTATAGATAGGAAAGTAAAACGATGGTTTAAGAGTTGGATGCTCATTCATCTTCCTTTTGGCCAACATTTTGTAGCTGAACTCTGTTAGCCATTTTAATAAGAAAGAACTTCATTTTATAATATAAACTTTCTTCTTTCTTTATTCGTTAAATATAATTCACAATTTTTTCTTCGCATAAACATAATCCCTACAAAATCCCCAGACCAAGACCACCGCTTCCTGGTTTTCGGCCCCTATTACCACCTCCACCATTACCACCCAAACCCAAAGTGCTGCCCACTCCACCCAGAGTCTGGCCCAATCCACCACCCAATCCACCACCCAGTTGGCCCAATAGATTTCCCAATCCCGCACAGCTGGTGGAGCTCAGCGGAGACAGTGAAGCACCCAGAACGGACAATTCGCAGAAACGGAAATCATTTGAAGTCTCCAGTTTGGTATCTATCTTGATGAAAGGCGTAGCTTTTCCGGTAACACTTTGGAAGAGTGACGAACCTTTGTTACCCTTGTCTTTGTCCCTATTGGCGAACTTAACCAGAAGATCGATGAGGTTGTTACGAACTTTAATATCTTCTGCACTGGTTAAGCGGGTGTCCTCTAAAGGATTCCCAAAAATATCATTGGCATCGAACATATAGCCGATCTCATCTCCATGACCCACTGTCTCGGGCTTATCGTGAGCTGTTTCTGAGACAATGGGAAGGCCTTTTAGAAAATTGATACCCTTCGACTTGGTGCCATTATACTCGAAGCTGTACATAAACGCCGGAGCTAGTTTAGACCAAACCTGGGTGGTCAGAACTGCTGGGAGATTGAAGAGAACATCTGTCGTGGACTCCACCACCTTGGAGAGCACTTGATCTACGTTCAGGGCTTGAGGCACTTTCCACACATCCTGCAAAGTTGGTGTTAGGACACTCGTTAGTCCCGGCAGTTCCGGTTTGGCAATCTGACCCAGTTATCTTATCGATTTTTAGGAAACTCGTTAACTTATTTAGAGAGTCACTAAGAGATCCCAGAAACTGCTCCGCTGAACCAAAAACCTTTTCTATAGTTTCCACAGTCACGGAATTAGCTGTTTCGTGTTTGGTAACTCCAGTCAGCAGGGGAATCCCCGAGAAGTTACTGCTCTTAAGTTGTTGTTCCGGTTCTCCAACTATAAGACTGGGTAATGCTCTTCCATCATCCTCGCTTTCAATGTGAGGTTGGAAACCAACATTGCCAGTTAACCCTTTGACCAAAGCTCGTCCTGCCAAGCGTTCGGTTTGGACTTTGTCATCGTTCTTGATGATCTCCTCGGCGCTTTTCTGAATATATATTTTGCGTTTTGAATTTTTAAAATGATACCTCAAAGAATACCCTTCTTACTCACCCCCCTCATGCAGTTGACAATCTCCAACTCGTTGCCAGTGGGACATCCATTGATTTTGGCCACCTCCTCGACACTCTGAACTGGTTCCTTATCCATGGCATACTGAGACAGTGCTGTCCCAGACATGGCCACCACACCATGAACATCACTGGCACTCTTTGCCGTCTGGGACATGGATAGATACATAGCACTAGCTGCTCCAGATCCATGACCAATAGCCTGAACCTGTTTGGGATTACCACCGAAATAGGAGATATAATCCGTGACCCAACGGAGAGCGGCGGCCAGGTCAAACATGGCAAGATTTCCATCGAACTGTTTGGTGCCATCGCCCATAATTCCCAGAGATCCCAGACGATATTGCGGAGCCACCACAATTGCGCCCCTCTGAGCCATGGGCGTGGCATCGTATTGCGCAGCGGAACCATAACGATAGCCACCCGGATGGATCCAAACGAAAACCGGCAGACCTGTACTCTCGTCCGGCATTTGAGGTGTGTAAACATTCAGCAGCAAGCAGTCCTCATCGCCAATAATCCGCTGAGGAAACTGCGGATGTGGTTGTATACAAGGTGGTCCGTGCTTGGTGGCATTCAAATCACCACCCAATCTCTTGTAGACCGGCCGGGAGTATCTTAAAGGGCCCAGAGGTGGCTCTGCGTAGTGCATTCCCAGGAAAGAGTAGATTCCTGTATTGGGATTACGAAAGCCCTCGATACGGGCATCGCGATTGAAGAGTCGCGCGAACACTACAGGATCATCGACTGGTGGCGCCTTCGATTCCTTGCCACCAACTATGCGTTTTACTCGAATATGAGGCTCTCCGCTAGACTCGCACCTTGTCAAGGTCACTACCAGGCATAGTAGCAAAAATATGTTCCGCTTGAGCTGCTTTTGCATTTCGCTTCGCTTGATTGTCAACTGGGAACTGAACTGAGAACTAACTGGCATTATAATCGGAAACCCAGCTCAAAAGTGAGCGAGGCCGGCCAGTTTGCTCAGCTTTGGCGATAAATAACAACAACAATAAGGAGAAAAAAAAATAAAATGATAAAAAACAAAACGAGAATCGAAAAACTTAAACTTTTTGCGGCCGCCTTGTTTGCGTGCCTTCCAGTTGGATAAGACCATGTTTGGGGCAGCGCTTCTCCGGCATTCTAATCACGTACTCCACGCCAGTTATAGTTCACTGAGTCACTGAGAATCTGGAATTAGCTGGGGAATTTTCGGACAACTTTTCAGCAAACAAACACTGGAGAGTTCCCGTGTACTAGCCTAATAATATAAAAGTTTAAGGAGCTGAACGGTTTGCGGTTTAAATTTAAGTTTAATCTACTTTTATTTTGGTTTTAGTAAAGTTAAAACCAGTTTGTTTTCCCCTTTTCATTTCTTAAACATCACTCGTAATTATTTCTAAGATTGATGTCTCTGCTCATCTCTCGACTTGAATGCAGGCAATTAAATCAGAGACAATTTGCTGAATTACGTTATTATTTTATTGGCAACGTGAGATTTCTTGGCTAGAATCACCCCCTCATCTTCTAAAATAAAATTTCTCAATAACAAACTGGTCAGTTTGGTTTTTCCCACAACGAATTGCTGATGTTTCTGATGTTGCAATTCGCTGAAATTCAATTGCCTGAGCAAAATAATAATGAGAGTTTAAAGCCGACAGCCGGTCATTGTCTGTAAATGAGGAGACTTTTGTAAGATAGTCCAGGAAGGGAGTGGAGTGGAAGTTGGCTAGTTGGCCATATGAGTCCATAGTGCCATATTTTACAGCTGTGTGGCATTATCTTTTTGCCCAGATGAATTATATTCTTCAGCATATTTACAGCCAACAGAGGAAGCGCAGAGCGAAGGCCGGAAGCTGGCAAATATCATGAGGCCCAAACGCATGTTGAGATTTCAAGTTTCTTGACCCAACCCCTCTATTGCAAAAGTCGAGCTAGGGGTCCCGGGGATCCATACTGGGGATTAGGCCGGAGACCGGCAGAGTGGCACGCGCTGCCCGAACGCTGCCTCTGCCACATGAATCTCAATGTTGTTGTCCAGCCAGTCGACCACGTACGGCAGCTGATTTGTCCCAGTCTCGGTGCCAGCCATCTTCTCCTCATCTTCTTCCTTCATCCAAGCTTTGCTATCTATTCCACTCATTTTGGCACTGAGAGAAAATGGGAAATGTTTGGTATAAGTTTTAGATAAAAACTAAGACTTATCAAAGATTTCATTACAGATCGAGTATTAATCCCTCTTTCTTAGTTCTAGTTACTCCTTTACATGGATTTAATCACCGCAAGATCATCTAATTGTTCTCTCAGTGCCTATCCCAGCGCTCTTGGCTCTTTCATGTGTCGCAGACAATGGCCAAATGACATTTAAAGTTACGACAATATAATTAAGTATACTACTGGGAGTTGACGCCATCTGAAGTCGGAGGCGGAGTAAGGGAGCAGCAGGAACAGGAGCTTGCCCAGGCCAAGAAAATAATTATATATGTATGAGAAGGAGGAGGAGTGGCAGCTCCAGGACCTACACATCCTTGCCTGATTGCCTCGAGAGACAGAAAGCGGCGTGCAACACTCTTGCAGCACGCAAAGTTTGCCCAGATGCAAAGAGTGGATACACCACTTTCCCCCAATTTTCCTCGTTTTTCCTCAACTGGCACGCCTCAACGTTTAACGAGATTAATCTTTTTTTTTTTTGCCAGCTATCTCAATTCTCAGAACTGTCCCTGCCAGTAAGAGAAGTCCTTAAAAAGTTATTAATCTTCCGGCTATCGAGTAAATATTTTGCTTTTAATTGAGTTTAAAAGCACCATAAAAGTGATTTGCATAAAAGTAGACATTGTCCTAGAGAGTAAACTGAAAGGGTTTTGATTTACTGCATTTACTTGGCATGCGAGACAGAGTTGGGAAATATAAAAGCCAATTATTACATGCTAGATTGAATTTTAATTTGATTTTTGGATAGACAAGGTCTTGGGTTTTAATTAAGTAAATATTTTAATACACATAACATTTTTAAACTGATTATCAAAACATAAGATAAGGCTCTAGTATGTTGTGGGCTTTTTCCACTTTGATTGAGAAATTTATAACAAATTTAGCAATTTCAAATTAGTTTGAGATCTAAAAGTTGATAACCAAGTTAGGCTTAGTTTCTTTGATGGTTTGTTTTACTAAATTCTAATCAATTCATGACACTACTTTCTAGATTTCTCTTATTTATTAATATCAAACATTTCATTTAATCATTACTCTTCGGCTCCCGAAGCTTGTATTAATTATCTTGCTTATCATTTATCCAACGAACACATTTTCCCAGCCTAATTTATCTTTATTTTTTCCATTCTTTGTTGTGTGCCACACGCAAGGCACTACGATTTTTCCCTGGGTTTTTCCTTCACTCTCTTTCCCTTAACTTATTACATTGCGTGTGCCACGCCCATAAGTGCGTGGGAAAGGCGTTTCGTGGAAATTAGCAGCAGCTTCCCAGCTGCTGCTGATGCGATTTTGATGTGCAAAATATTAATTATAAAACAATAATTGAATTGTGCTCTTGCTCTTGGCAGTTCAGCGCCAGCTAACGTCGAAAGGTGAGCGATTTTCCTTTTGGCCTTCCACCCGCCCCAAAAAATCTATCTCTGACACACACACGCCAAAAGTTCATTATGCTAGAACAATTTTTCTTTGGCATCTGTTGGTATTTGGTTGGAGGAAAACAAATTAGTTTGCCATGATTGCAGTTTAATAGGATGCCATGGAGCTTCATAAGTGGTATTTATCAGGTGGCTAAGCGGGATAAAATATTTTTTATAACTATTAAAGAGGGTTTAAAAATATCCTCATCTTGCCTTTATTATAACCTTTCCATATCCATCAATAACTTTAATTGCTTGCACAACTTTCCCCTTTACAATTTTTTGGTAGCTGCGTAAAATCTTTAAATTATTTTCCCAACCTGCAACTCGCATGTTCACGTCCCCAGTCAACTATAAAAGGGCACAGAAGCGTAAATAATACAAAAACAAAAATACATATATATATATACATACATAATAATAAATAAATATGAAAATATTACAGAGAAAATGGGCCACCCACTCCACTTGAAATGGAAAACAATATGGGAGGCCACGCGAGGGAAGAGAAAAAGAAGAGAAGAATCGAAAACAAAACAAAGTTAAAGCCCAATACATTAATGGTATTTGCATTTGTACTGATTTTATTTGGTTTTTATTGAATTGATAAAATCACAACGAGAACAGGAGAACCCAACGAGAGTCCTTCGTCCTTGCTAACGTTCTGTTTTTCCTACTCCCCCCCCCAATACCCCCAACCAACTGCCAATTTGATATTCCGATTGCAATTTATGTTCGCCCCCAACACATATACACTCTCCATACATACACATGTAAGCCGCTTGTGCATGTGTTTGTGTTCGTGTGGTGAAGCTTCACTGTGATTCTTTTGCCCCCCGCACTCACTCACTCCCCTTCAATGGAAGCTTTGTGTTTAAACATCTGCAATATGCTGCGTGTTCCGGGTAGCTGAAAATCCTGGAATGGGTCGAAAATGTTTTGGGATCAGGCTGCAGTCGGTCCTGGAATGGTTGAGGGGAGATTGGGGGGATTCCTGGGGTGTGCGTGTGTGCACTGGCCATGCCTTATAGTTGTATCTCTTTATGAGATGAAGTCGTGAGTTCATTATTTGAATTATTTAGTAACTTTTTGCTTGCCAACTGCTTAAGTTTGTTTGATGTAAAAAATGAGCTTTGGTCAGTAAGTTTATAGTGTCTTGTTGTCTATTTTATATTTTTAAATATTTATAATAATATTATTATCAAAAATAAACAATAAATGTGTACCCTTAAGACTTTTTGATATACCTTTTCTATTAAATTAAATTTCTAAATCTTAAAAGTTTAAAATTAAAACAGGAAATCAGTTTCCTCACGCTGCCATCTCCAAGGAACCCAGTTCCCGGCGGAACGCGTGTTTATTTGGCACCACAAATGCGTTTCCTCTTCTGCGGATGGGTAGTGGGTTAAGGATGGGTTAAGGATGGGTGGTAGTTCTGTTGGGTTTTTGGGTTGGTTTGGTTCGGTTTGGCTGGGTTTGGTCTGTGGCAGCAACGTCAGCAGCGCTGCGGTTGTCGCTTAATGGAATTCCGTTCTTGCATTAAATGTGACACACAGAGAGAGAGAAGCTGCCAATCGGAATGCCACCCACCCAACCATACAACCATACAATCACCCAACAATCCCACCTATCCCATTCGATAGACAGTGACAGTTGCCGTTAGCAGTCACAGTTAACTGTTACGAGTTGTCCTGCGGTTTGGCTTGTTTAAGTGTTAAATTAACGTTTTAACAGTTTCGATTATTCCGCCAGTTAATTTTTAATGTTTTCCTGCCTCCGAAAGCAGTGCAAAACTTGGCCTGCCAAGCAGGATACATATTTCCTGCCATGTCCTTGGGCCTTGTACATTTTCATTAGTTTAATTAAAATTTTATTCATCCTTTCGTGTGTGCGTTGTATGTCCTTGGAATTTCCTTTGCAGTTTCCTTTTCAAATTGAACCGCAAAAGTTTTTTCGGTAGGGAGGGGGCTCTTTACCATCATCATCCGTGGCAGAACAAAGGATTATACCATTTGGTCGTGTCCTGCGAGCTGCACTCGAGTTTTGGCCTCCCTTGGCCGCAAAACTTTTGCCGCACGCATTCATTTCAATTTGCTTTTGTTTTGTCCATCTTTGGCCAGATTCTGGCTGCTCCTTCTGGCCATTGACAGGCTTCAAGCCACACATCACACACACACACACACCCGCGCTTACCCTTTTACATATCCCTTTGTGGCTAGTTTTGTAAGGACCAAGACAGGGGAAAACTAAAAATAAATGTTGCTCGAACGCATGGCCACAGAAAT